ACAATTTACAGATTGTATAAAGTTGATTGCGTGCACTGTTTTGAAAGGTTTGATCAACTTCAAGAGTACATGTCTTACAACCGTGATCATAATCAGCTTCTAGTCTTATGATTTCAAGAGTATAAAATTGTGTTACTTAAGCACAGATGCATGATTATGTGCTATAATTGGCCACAACAATACTGTAGATGTTGGTTACAAGTTTCTTGAAAATCTATATTCGTTAAAATCCGTTTGAAGTTGTTTAGGTCAATTTATCTGCAAGTTGAAACGTATTCATCATTCTCCCATCAGAATTATTTTTATCTTGAAGTCTTTTTAATCGTTCTTATTATTTTATTCTCCTCTCTGTATTCTGTGAAAGAATTATATAGTTATTTGACGACTGATGTGTATCTTTTAGTCTGTCAGGTCATACAGGATCAGTAAATGTTTTACTTATATGCGTCTACAAGAAGAGATAAAAGATTTAGTGGAGGTGACCCTGAAGTAAAAATCACAGTAACCGAAGGTTATATGACCTGATATCAACTAGTTTATTTAGAATCTAGTATTCTGTTGGTCCTAAAGGTGAACGCACTATTTGACAGCTAATTAGAGTACACTTAAATGTTTAGATATAAGCATAAGGTGCTACTGTAGGATTATTATTATTTGTCATTTGGGGTCCTAGTGGAACATTGGGCCCCAGTAGAACGTCGCCATTTCACTCTCTTCTCTCCAGTCTTTTCAACATGGCTCCACCACTCCTACAAGCTTCCATTTCTTCATCACACGACCTACTCCATGTCACCCTCACCACGGACGCCCAACTCGTCGTTTCCCATTTGGCTTCCACTTGAGGACCTGGCACGTCTTGTCCCCGAATGTTCTTCTCAGTGTTTGTCCAATCCAATCCATCTCCACTTTCTTCTGCATATTTGTTGGGTGATGGATGGCTTCTTGGTTGGTTCGTTGCCAGCAGGCCAGTCAGCCAGCCAGCCAGAGTTCTGTGTTGCTTATTCTTATTATTCTGGCCATTTGATCTTCAGTATCAGTATAGAGTAAGCGTAGGTGGCAGTTGATGAAGATTTTCTGTAATTTGTTGGAAATGCTTTACGTGATGTGTCAGGTCTTTCAACCATCACATGAAAGCACTGACTTGACTGACATAAGTCAGGCTTTGATGTGCTCATCTGTGCCTGTGTGGCCTGTATTTGAAACGATGCTGCCTGGTTAGGTAAAGTAGATAACTTCCTTCAAATTTCACCCATTTTTGGTGGTTCGTGCTTGTTGTTGCTGTTGGTAGTGGTTGGGTATCTGTTTCTCTATGTTCACCTGAGATTAAGTCTTCGCTGCCTCGCTTCTCTTGCCAAATTATTCGTTTTCGCTTGTAGATAGATCTTCAGGTTTGTGCGACAAGAAATTAAACATACATCATCGGCGAAATCCTAATCCTCCAGGATTTTTCATCGATCCAGCCAGCGTGTGACCCTCTTCTCACTCCTCACACTTTGTTGCATGAACCCGTACAGTACAGTCCAGTTGACAACAATCAGGAAGATCATTGTTGATGATTGTAGTCGGCAACCTTGTCTTGTCTTACACCTGTCTACACTTCAAACGCGTCACTGCGCTTTCCATTGTGAATCACTTGGCATGTACCATCCTCATTACAGAATGCAGCTACTGTTGAATGACATTGATAAAGATTTGTGGCACAACAACCGTGATGTTGATGCAGCTGTCAAATTACTTGTTGGTCGACACTGTCGAAGGCCTTTTCGAAGTCTATGAAGTTGAGGTTGAGGTTGAGGTTGAGTTGAGTTGACTCCCACTTCATGCTCTGTTCTATGATGATGTGCAGTGTAGTGCTGCAATTTGATCCACACATGATTTCTCCTTCCTGAAGACAGCCAGCTAACCAGCCTGTCTGATTATTTCCTAATTGTGAATCTAGAGCTTTTTCCTCTCAGTCTCCACAGGATGATGCGGCTTAAAATTTTGCTTGGTGTGGACAGGAGCATTATTCAGCAACACTTCTTGCAAGGACTTAGGTCACTCCACTTTAGGAGTGTAACAAGGTTGTTCGTCTTCCAGTTGGCAGCTATCTTTCTTTCCTTCCTTCACTCCTTCGAAACCTTCTGCAATAGGGATGTGAGCATGTCTGCTGATGTCGCTGTGTCTGTTTGCAGTGCTTCTGGAGGAATCCATCTGGTCTTGCTGCTTTCATGGGCTTTAGGTAACTTCATGGCATTCAACACTTCACTACTGCTTCAGTGGGGGGTGTTTGTGTTCACTGATAATTCTGTGGCTGGGCTACTGGTGGTATTTGCAGACGAGTTGCAGGTGGTGATGGTGATGGTGGTAGATTCAAGAGTCTGTTGAAGTGATCAGCTAGTCGTTTCCTTTGTTTCTCCGCTTTCATGGTGATTAAATCTCCTTCACTATCTCTCATTCATGTCATCTGTGTTGATCTATCTCCTTCCACATAGTAACCTGGTTATTTGATATCATGTTGTCAGGTCTGTGTCTCTCCTACCTACAGCTTGTTATGCTCCACTTGCAAATGTGTTGTACAAGTGTCTTTTGTCTTTCCGCACACTCCTCTTCACTGCTTTGTCCAGTGTAGTGTTTCATAGGTTGTGTTCAGTTCCTCTTTTCGTTGTTCATTCCGTACACTGCATTGTACTGCAATGCACTGGTTTATCTTCCGCTTCACCATCTTCCTCTCCCTCCCCTATCAGCTTCCATGTATCCATCCAGATCCATTCAATTCCTCGTCTTCTTTCTTCTTTCTTCTTCTTCTTCTTCCTTCCCTCCTTCCTAATACGGTTATGCAGCTTTACTTCCTTCCACACTGCTTTCACAGAGTTCAACTGCTCTCCCACACAGGTTTCCTCAGGGATGTTGCTTAATGTCTCTCATTATTTCCATATTATGTTTGTTTATTTGATTTATAACGTACAGTGATCTAGTATTATTTACTTGATGACATTTCGAGCATAAGTTATTGGTCATAATCATATCAGTGTAATCGCTCTACTTTGGAAATTTGATTTTTAATAGTTACGTCACTTTATATGAGTTGTTTTTATTGGTAGCAAAATTTTCCACACATCTGGTATAGGTGTTGCATCATTTCTATTAACTGTGTTGAGTGTTGATTCGATGAAGAAAGATACAGTAATCAATCTCTCCACCTTAATTTATTGAACTTAAGTACAGTGGCTTTGGGTACACTGGACCGCGGGAAAGAACCTAGAAGATTTGGATTTCGCCGATCACATGTCTAATGTCATACAAACTTGAATATCTACAGGCGAAAACTAACAAGTTGACAGAAGAGGCGAGGCAGGGCAGCGAAGAAGGGACTTCAAGTGAATGTAGAGAAGACAGAGGTTTTGAAGATACCCAACCAACAATCGAGTATTGTAGTCAGCGACGTTACTCCTAAGTTATTCGGACCACGATTGACCTCTTGTGGGACTTGATCGGTCACGGGAGAGCTACCAATTTCATGTAGTCCAGTCCTAACCAAATCCTATGTTGCCAAATGCTCAGTGTAAAGGTTACTGACTCCAGCACTGGATGTCGTGGGTTTGAATCTCTGGCGGTAGTAAACCCCGTAGAGTTTGCAGACACGCCTTGGTGACGGGTGCTAAAAAGGATGAAAACTAAGTCAAGTGAAGCTCCCTATCGATAGCCTCTAACCAACTAACATATACTTAAGTGCAGCGTGATGTTGAGCGTCCTAGTTTGGTGACCATCGTTAGAGTTCGGTCAGAACCGAGGAATAGACAACATGAAATTCGTTGCCCTCCAGTGATCAATCAGTGAAAATTTTGATTTTAGAATACACTAATTTCGGCAAACATTAAAGTATTCAGGTTAATGTCAAACATTTTCACCTTTTGAATAATTATCACATGGAAATGATGTCTAAATTCACTGAAACGTTATAAAAACTTCACACGAGAAAGAAGCTGAGGAAGAAGTCTATCTACTGGTGTGAAATACAACTTCGAATACCACTAACATCTCTCCCATGCTTATGATTTAAACAATCACACCATGAACCTATTGTGTGATCGTTTTGTTTACGTCATGCAACTGTGTAGTTGATTCTTAGTTTTGACTAGAATTTTAAGTATATAAAATAAGAAATGTCGTTCATCATTCATCAACGTTCATCAACTGCTGCCTACGCTTGATACTGAAGATCAGATGGCCAGAAAGAATAAGCAACAAGGAACTCTGGGTGTCAGTGAACCAACCAAGAACCTGTCACTCAACAAATATGCATTGGAAGGAAATAGAGATGGATTGGGCATACACTGAGAAGGCCGATTGGGGATATCACGCGTCAGGCCAGGCCGTAGAGTGGAAGCCAGATAGGAAACGACGAGTTGGGCGTCCGAGGGTGACATGATTCAACGTGGTTCTCAATGATTTGAAAAGTGACGTTAATCCGTTCGGAATATTATAGAATTAGCACATGTACTGATAAGACCTGTATCACCACACGCTGTATGTCTTCATAATCATTGACCTGAAAGCTTCACGATTAAACCACCCAGCTCATAGAAAGCAACAGTCAAGATCGGCTTACAGGATAATTTTTCAGTCATTAGATAGTTACTACTAATGTAAAATAGGAAAAGATCTGCTGAAAAAAGTGTAGCCTATGAAACCAAGCAATTCAAAATTGATAACAGATAGCGAAAATGATACACATGCAAAGCCTTTATTACCTGGTTCATTGGCTTGATGATGTATAGATACGCACGTGAACTGTGGCGCTGTGACTTCAGTGTCAAGCATGATGGTTTATATATGTCCCTAAGTAGTATATCAATGAAGTAGGTCCCTTTTAATGTTTTATTTACCGTTGTTCTACAAATAACCCAAGAACCTAGTGAAAATTATCTTCAGTAAGACAAAATGTTTATATCAATATTATTTGATTTTATTAATTCTTTTCTACTGTTTGAACTGTTCATCTTGTGTATATTTTACAGAGACATCAAAATGAAAGGTCTTCGAAAGTGTTGGATCAGCAAGCACAGTTATGCTATAACAAGAAAATATCTTCTCACTGTACAGATAAACAGTCAATGGAGGCAGTGGGACATGATCAATTACAGTCTTCCATAGATCATACAAAAAACACCAAAAAGAATAATGATTATGATAAATGTCAACCTGATCCATTAGTCAACCCGATGGAAGATCAATGTGATACACTACACGATTGTTCACTATCTAGTAGAGGAAACATTAGTCGAAAACGTAAAGCCAGTGATTTCAGTAGTGAAGATAACGAGTTCGATGATGTGTCACCATTCAATTTCTTCACTGAAAACGATTTAAACCAGTTCAATGAAACTTCAGTATGACCGCTTACCGTTGTAATCCAGAATCTATGAACATTGATATTGTCCACCATAATAAAAATGCTGATGCCAAGGTTACGAAGAGAAAAAATTATGTTCATAAGTCTATGATTATGAAAGGTACTTATCCAAATATCATTTCGAGTGTATAAAAATCTTGAATCCCAGGCTGAATGTTTAGTCTGTGCTATAGAGAAAGGTGATAATACTGTCTTACTATAAAGTATTCAGTGTTTCTCATTTGACAATGTAGACAAATGGAAATATAGATTTCATGAACTATATAAACAGAAGTTACCGATAAGATCTTGATTTAATTCTCATAATTTCATTGCATAATGGATATTATTGTTGTTACTGTTGTTCTTTCTTGTCGTCTTTCAACTATTTTGTTCTATTGTAGACGTCAGTATTCTTCTTGTAGTAAGTATATTTTTAATACTGCATAACTGTAGTCTTCTATTTGAATTTAAATTGAAGTTGGTTTGTTCCTTTATGTTCTATTCTCTTTCTCTGTTTTTTTTTTTTGAAGAAGGATTGAATAGTGTTTTCTTCTCTGTGTCTACTTTTGTTTCCATTTCAGCTGATTGTAGATCATCACAACTGGGCAAAGTTTGGATGTCGCAAGTGTTGTATTGGTTTGCCAATTTAGATAAAACAAACAATATGAACTAAGAAATATTAGTTCCTCATCAATAGCTCTACATTGATATAGGGTTTTCAAAACGTAAAATTACATTCCAATCTAGTGGTATTCTACAGTCGGCCGATGATGACCACGCGAACTAAAGACAGACTACCTGACTTCTCCTCTTCTAGGTGCATTTACCAGTTCAACTGCTTCTGTGGAGCTAGTTACATTGAACGTACAGTTAGGTAAGTCCGTCTTCGAATCGCCGAGCATCATCCTTTTTGACTAAGTGAGGGGCAAACCAAATCGATACGAAGCTCAATACTCTCACATCTGATTGACACTGGCCACCAAGTTAATATTCATAATGCCTTTAAAGTTATTTATCTCATTCCTTCTAATCTCATCCGTGCTCTACCAGTTCGTCTTTTACATACAGCAGAAGCCATGGGAATCCACCTAAACAAGCTAAGTCTGTGTTCAGAAGAGATTCTGTATAGCTATCTGTATAGCTTATTCATTACAACATGACCCTTCCTTTCATTCACCCCAACAGATGTTTTAACTAGTATTTTAATAGCTCTATTAATGTTATGATTATTATTATAGCTTTAGCCATCTTATTCTCTCTCTACTGTCTCTAATTACCTCAACAATTTTCCACCTTACGTAACAATTTATTTTCGCACCTTAGCAACCATTATATAAATTGTCAATTATGTAGGAACCTCTTTAAAATTTCAGAAAATCTTTCTACTATAATTATTCTTTGGCTAATTGTCTTAATTACCTGATCAATTATCACCTTCTTGATACTTTGAGATTAATATAACACCTTTCATTGAACAACTCTCACCACTAGATTGGTATGTAATTTTACGTTTTGAAAGTGCTATATATTAGTGTAGAGCCATTGATGAGGAACTAATTGAAAAGAAATATTTCTTCACTCACATTGTTTGTTTTACTAAATGTCTAAATGGGAATTTTTGCATTGATTTAGATAAAGCACTAACATTAGAGTCATTCAGCTGAACTTTGAATATTCTCCATTATCATTAGATGTGCATTTAGAGTTAACCCTTATGTTTAAAAGAATAATTTGGTTCATTGAAATTGCCAGTTCGTGTAATTAATTACTACTTAACATTCTAACTAAGTGTATCATCTTCCTTTACGTTGTAATATTGTTACAAACGTCTAGTTCATTGATATTTCAAGCTTCGTTTGAAAAAGATTTTCTTGGTTCGTTTGGTTTTTTTGTTTTTAAGGGCAAACTCATCATCTCCTTTGAAAAAATATTTTTTTCTTTCGATTTGTTTTCTCCTCGTGTTGTTTTATATGCTGCTGCTGAAGATTTTCTTTCGACTTTGGGTTATGGCATTTACGACTTTCTTGGGGCGTTTGTTTAAATTATCTATGTAATAATTTCTTGACTTTGAATATGAAACAAACTGTCTCTTTAGATAAAGAATAAAAGAGGAAACGGCTCTCCGTTTAAACGAAACCGACTCATTTTTTATTCTACTTCAAGGGATTAGAAATTACTGGGGTTTTTTATCTTTCTTCCTAACTGACTGGCTGACAAAATCAAGTTAGAACCTCGCACGCAGGTACATAAGCTAAGCTCACCACACTTCACAGTAGTACACAAGGAACAAGTGGATAGAAAAAGAATGATATCAAACTCGATAAAGTAGTTTCAGAGAATAAGCGATCTACAGATAAAGGTTAGTGCGAATATTCAAGCTTTAGATGTCGAGGAGTGAATATATATCTGCGCCATTGTGACCAATTTTTCGCCATGTCATCAAGAATCCTCAACCACTAATTCCTTTCGTTTCATGGACCCCAACCAGACAATCTACACCACCCCAAGTGACTCAGGCTGGCAGTAAAAGACTTCTTCGACTGGTGTAGGTCTTGGTGTCGCCACTCTGAACCCTCCCCAAACCTAATACAAATTTCCCTAGAATGACACATCGAAGTAGACGGTGGCTCAACATGTGCATTACATGCCTAGACCATCCCAGTCGATTCAGTTTCACCATAATCAACTTATCAGCCTATTTGCTTATCTTACCCACTACCCATCTCCTGACCTCAACATTACTCATACGATGATCCCACCAAACGGGATCAATGCCACGAAGATGCCTGTGACCTAAACCCTGAAATCGCTGCATGTCTTCTAATTTTAACAGCCATGTTTCACAGCCGTCTAACGGGACATATAGAACTGCATGGCAGTACACTGGTCTTTTGATAGATAGCGAGATATCTCGCCGGCGCCAAAGATGATGCCAAACGGGTCTTCTATATCCAGGCTGAGATCTCTTCAGTAACCAGCCCGTTCGGGCCGATGTAGCTTCTGAAGTAAGTGAAGTGGTCGACATATTCCACCACTTTACTTCCTATCATTGAACTGGGATGTTTAGCAGAATAGCGCTGGAGAATTTGAGAAGTGCCAGTGAAAAGCATGCCAAACATACTGGGATTTCTATTCCATGCATTTAGAAGACCCTACATCTTGTCAGCGTCTTCAGCGAGCAGGACAATTTCATTTGCGTACTCCAAGTCAACCAGATAACCTCAAGGGAGGAGGTCAACCCCTATGAAGTTAGACATACGTAAGATAATCCCGATTAGTACGTCTGTGAAGAAGTTATGTGAAAAAGGTGATAGTGCGCACCCGTGGTGGACACAAACAGCTGTCCTCAATTTACATGAAACTTTTCATAAGCCTTACGCTGCTGCGTGGGTTCGAGTAGAGAGGTTTGACAAGCATTTTATACCTTCTCGGTACTCCCTTCACAGTCAGACACTGCCACAACACCTCACACTCGACTAAATCAAATACCAACTTCAGGCCAGTAAGTACACCTGTAGGAAGATAAAAGTCTGGTTGACGCACTCATCAAGGTCTGAAATCAGTTTGCTTTTCTCAAGCTCCAGAGAGATGTTGGATAGCTATAGACCCTAGGATCCTGAACGCGATATTAGTCGAAATAATTCACCTGGGTTTATCTTAAGAAGATTTATATTCCTTCTTGTAGACTGTGATGATCAGCGTATTAGATCAGTCTAGTGGCACTAACTCTGATTCACATACAGTACCTAGTACCTCCGTCACTTTAATTCTCAATTTTCTAACTCCATTCTTGAAAATTTTAGATGACAAACTGTCAGATCTTGCTGCTTTGGATCATTTTAGGTTGGATACGGCTTTCTTAACTTCAAGGATAGCTGGAGAAACGGAATCTACTTCCCAATCAGGTTCATTAAGTAGCCAAACCCACTGGGAAAGATCCAGAAATAATTCATTATTTATAGCTTTTATGTCGAATGATGGCTTATATGACTAGCTGAATACTCTGCAGCAGTGTAAATAATCACGAACATTAGAATATACATTTTAGTGTAAGAAGGGTTTATCCAGATAATTACAGTCAAAACTCCTTGAAATAAATTGTCATTCTTTTCTGACATGGTCATCATCGTGATACATCTTAGAAGGAAGATTTAAATGAGTAATAGTCTTCGATGGATGAAAGCAATCGGAACGAAGCCCCGCTTGACCTAAGTTTCGTGTTTTTTGACACTTTTCACCAAGGTGTATTTGCAACCCCTACGAAACTGATGTCTCACCTGAGATTCGATCTCACGTCACCCAGTGCTGCAGTCAGAGATGTTAATTACTACTGAGATATTCAGGTCGTGGTTGACCTCCTATGGGACTGGATTAAGTGCATTAATTCCCCACTTGAGGCCCAAATAGCTCAATGATAACACCGCTGACCTCAGCACTGGGTAACGTGGGTTTGAATCTCATGCGGGACAGTTCCGTAGAGATTGCACATACGCCTTGTTGACGAGTGCCCAAAAGCATGAAACCCAGATCAAGCTGGGCTTTCTGTTGTTTTCCTTCAACCAACTAACACCTATTTAAGTCCTCTGCGATGCTCAGCTATCTTGGTGGCAAAATTGTAAGAGGATCGATAGTATTCGATCTGCACTCAGGATTAGACTACATGAAATTGGTTAACCTCCAGTGACTAATTAATGTAATAAAATCTTCACCTAAAGGTACCTCTCACAATGCATTGCCATGAGTTAGAAAGCTAGTGATAAACCGACTGTTCGTCAGCAATAGTCACACATCTGACTTGCATCCATATCGAAACATTATCTTGAATCCAATCCGTTAAAGACAAGATAATTCATCAAACAATTTTGATTTAGCAGTGTTTTTGAGTACAGTACTCAGAAATCAACTTAACTGGGTTGTATGGTTGAGGTTGAAACAGAAACCTGGACATGGTGAGAATCAAACTAACGACCTGTGTTCTTGGTGGTGTTGTGTTCTCTGAACTGAATGCTTTAATCGTAGAGCTTTCGTTGTCATTTCGAAAGTTTGTTCTGATGATGTCTAAACTGACAACGAAAGCACTACTATTAAAGCATCCAGCTCGGAGAAAACAACACCATCAAAATTATCATCTTGAGCTACCAATAATTGGCTATCGTCTCATAATAACCTCGGTGTAATACTATTCTACATGAAAATCCTATGCATTCGCTTCTTGGCTATACTCCTGATATACTTTTATGGTATATTCTTATGCTTCACTCATATGCAGAGGTAAAGCAGCAAAATAATTTTAAATTCACCTAAATCCACTTATTTCATATTTCTGACAGAACCGTCAAATTTAACAATTTAAACGCTATGACAGAGGCAGGAGATTTGTACATTCAATTCCTATCCTAGTGTTTTGATTGCCAAGAATATTTTCTTGTTTTCAATTTTTCTCATGGAGTAATGAAGCAAAGCGTTAAACAAATAAGTCTAATAAAAATCCATATTTAAAAAGATACTCAAAAAATATTTGATCAAATTTGGTAGAGTGTAAGAAAACAACCAACATTTCAACTTTATGGCCATATCATAACTATAATAAAAATTGAATTCGAAATAAAATGAGAAAAATAATCTTATTAAAGATGAAATTGTAATCTATAAATTCGAAGAAAAGTTTTCTAAAAACCGTATGAATTAACCAAGGAAATAAAAAAATATAATTTTTAATAGACAACACTGCTGGACCAGCAGTAGTCAACCACTTCACTTAGTTGGGGAATGGTGTCAGCCTACACAGGATGATGGCTGACGATTTCTCACCTCAGACATAGAAAGTCTGTTGGGCATTTAGCAAGTGTTGCATCATTTCTGGGGCCGACTGACGAGATATCCGACTACCTATCGAAGGATGAGTATACTGCGATGCAGTCCGTTCTGTTCCTTTAAATGGCTGTGAGACATGAGAGGAAGTGAATAGACTACAGGTTTTGAAGCACAGATGTCTTCGTAACATTTCTGGCTGTGTTGAGGTTAGGTTAAGGGTGCTAGGCAAGTTAGTCAATGAGGTTGTATATCTTCAGCGACTGAGATGGCTTGGATATGAGTTGCGCTTGTTGAACCACCATCCACCTCAAACAGTCATGTTCACGGAGATGGGATTAGACAGAAAAAAACTAATGGAGATCAGATCAAGGACTGGCATCATTTGAAGTAGCCTCCAATTGTGTAGTGAAGTGTGGACGATCTGGTCTGTGAGACCACAGGAATCAATGGTTTGAGACCCTTGGTGACATGGCTGAAAATCGGCCACAATAGCGCACGTGTATTCACTCATTGATATCTAAAGCTTGGATGTTCATTGTACACTGCATAAATACCTCATGAGATTTTATAAGCATTCGGGTTAGTATTTAGTTTACAGCTTACAAATAAGGCTTTGAACATTAAGACATCTGTCTGCTAATTCTAAAGCAAAATATGATAGATACATACTAATTCCCTTTAAATTTCGCTGTAATGAAGCTATGTGCATATTTCAATTTATCAGATATTATTAAGCGAATAGTGCTGAATTCCTAACCGTTTCTTTGCTCAAATGATACACGCCTGACAAATAACCTGTTCGACACCTACATTACACAATAAAACTTATGCCCATGAAATTCTGGTATCTAGTTCAACAATAAATTATCTTGTCATTTGGATGGTTAACACTGTAGGTTCGTTTCTCGCGGGTATACTAACAGAGGAGTCTGGACTGAACAAAACTGTAGAGACAATAAATGGAACAACGTTCTAGACAAAACAAGTTGACTATACTTTTATTGTGAAGTAATGTCCCGTAGTCGTTTCTAATATTGAATGAAACCTATCAAATTTCATAAACTATAGTTTTATCTCAAATCATGGAAAATTGGGAGTATTCTTCACCTTAAACAAGATGTTGTTGAATTATTACTTGCAGGCAAATCAGTAAAAAAATACTAGTGCAGCTCATTTGAGTTGTTTGATCTGTTAGTAAGTAATACATAAGATACCAAGCTGAGCCGATGCTGTTCTTTGTGCATATGTTTTTCTTCTATATTTTAGAAAAGCGTGGCTAGTGGTGGTTGGGAAGTGAGCATGTCACCTTTAATTTAATACGA